CATAATGTTTTTAAAATGATTGCAAAGGAAGAACTAGAATATGTAGTAGAGGAGGATGTTAAGGAATTTCCAACTTTCGGAGACTCCTAGAGTGACTATGATACGGCCGTCCACCCTTTCTATGCTTATTGGCAGAGTTTTTATACTCAAAAGAACTTCACCTGGAAGAATATGATACACAACAAACATCAAACTTCTGGGGAAAGTGAGCCATGGAAAAAGAAAACAAAAAAATTTGAGTCACAGCCAGAAAAGAGAACAATGAGCTTGTGCATCAGCTGGTAGCTTCTATTCGAAAGAAAGAAGAGAGTTCAGGGTCATCTGAAGCTTGTAGAGGAACAGAATGCTGAGAAGGCCAGGAAGGCTGAGGAGATGAGGCTGCAGCAGAAGCTCAACCAGGCCAAACTGGCAGAGCAGTACAGAGAACAGAGCTGGACGACCATGGCCAGTATGGAGAAGGAGCTCCAGGAGGTGGAGGCACGGTATGACAAGGAATTTGAAGATGGATCAGATGAAAATGAAATGGGGGAACATGAGCTCAAACACAGACAGGATGGTAAAGACAGTGATGAGGCTAAGAAAGTTGAGTTTTATGATGACCTTTACTGTGCAGCATGTGATAAATCTTTCAAGACGGAAAAGGCTATGAAGAATCATGAAAAGTCAAAGAAACACCAGGAAATGTTTGCTTTGTTGAAACAGCAGTTGGAGGAGGAGGAAGAGAATTTTTCAGGATCTCAAGTGGATGAAAATCTATTGAATACCAATTCTGAGGAAGAAATGGAAAATACTCTAAAACAAAAGCTTCCTAAAAAACAGAAGAAAAAGAAACAGAAGCCACCACAGAATTATGATGACAGTTTCAATGAAAGTGGAACTGGAGAAGGAGAAAAGGTTGATCTAGAGGATACTAACATAATCAAGACAATGCCAAAGCATTAGAAGATCATCCTCTAAAAAATGTCAGTGTCACAGAGACCACTGAACCATGTGATAATCCAACAAGTGAAGCAAAAAGTATTGCCAAATCCAAAGGAAAGAAAACCAAAGATGTGAAAAGATCTGTCAAAGTACCTGCTGAACCACAAGTACAGAGTGATGTTCTTATCAGCTGTACAACCTGCCATAGTTAATTCCCATCCAGGATAAACTTTTTGACCATCTCAAGGATCCAGGTAGTGCAAGAGCACCTCCAGCATCATCTTTAAACAACGTAACCAGTAGTCAAAGCAAGAAAGAAAAACGAAAAAAAAGAAATTCTGCCAACACTTTTTTGCTTACTGTGTCCAAATTTGGAAACCAAAAACTGATCTGAAATCATCTAAAGAGTTACAGTTTCAGTGATTTCCAATTTATTGCATTATGGAAGAGTATTTTTTAACTTGTAAAAATACTTTTTCATTTAATATATATTTTTTAAACATTTCACTAGTGATTGAATTCTACTTTTGCCATCTGAATTGACTTGAATGTTTCAAGACAGGTAAATATTGTAAAGTGCACATCCTGATTTTTCATGTAGACAGAAATATACAGGGAAATTAAATTATTTTAATGCATAAAAAAGAACAAAAAAAGTGAAGTCCTTTTTCCAACAAAAGATCAAGCAGAAATCCAGAGGATCATCAATAGCTACTTTGAGAACATGTACTCTAATAACATGGAAAACACGGAAGAAATGGACAGATTACTAGATACATATGAATAGCCAAAGTTAAATGAAGATGATATAAAAATTCTGAACACCCCAATTACAATCAGTGAAATTGAAAATGTAACAAAACTTTACCAACAAAGAATTTCCCAGGTCCTGATGGCTTCACTGCTGAAATCTACAAAACAATTAGAGAAGAACTATTTCCACTAATCTTTAAACTCATCAATGAAATTGAAAGGAAAGCAATACTCCCAAATTCATTCCTGAAAGCAAGTGTTACTTTGATTCCAAAACCAGGGAAAGATACAACCCAAAAAGAGAACTACAAGCCAATCTCCCTAATGAACATAGATGGAAAAAATCCTCAACAAGATACTGGCAAACAGAATACAGAGGGTCATCAAGAAGATCATACACCCTGACAAAGTCAGATTTATCCCAGGGATGCAAGGATGGTTCAACATATGTGAATCAATAAATGCAAACACTATATTAAGAGCCAAGGACAAAAACCATATGATGATCTCAATACATGCAGAAAAAGCATTCAACAAAATCCAGCACTGATTCATGATAAAAACTCCACAGAAAACTGAAATAGAAGGTCCTTATCTCAGCATGATTAAGGCTATCTATGAAAAACAGTCAGCATCATACTAAATGGTCAAAAACTGAAAACTTTCACACTAAAATCAGGAACAAGACAAGGATGTCCACTATCACCACTCCTGTTCAATACAGTTCTGGAAA